AAATCAAGTTAAATTAAAATGTAACAAGGTTGTAATAATGTGAAGGAAGGCTATATATGAAATTATAATAAGTGACATATAAAGAAATTTAATTTTAAGCGACACAAAAATGGCTTGATCAATTTAAAAACAATGATTCCGTTGCACATAATATATCTAAAATTTGACTTAATATTTATCGAAAATTGCACTAACATTGTCTTGAGTTGTACAAACTTTCAAGTTCTTGAATTTATGCTACCTTGTGAGAGCAAAAATAGTTACAGATATCACGTATTCGCGGATTTGATTCGAAAGTCGACTGGAGTATCTGGTATTAAATATTTCTTAATATTTATCGCACCAAACTACGTTGAAAAGTTGGTGAATTAGCTTTAAGAATACCATGCAACGTTTCAAACTGGAAATTTTTAATTTAAGCCCTTGTATTTCTTTACTGAACTGTAAAGTCCCAATGTCCACTGACAGTGGGGAGAAATTTGACTTAATCTGAGTTCAGTCGATGTTGAGTGTAAAGGTTAGGTTAGAAAGCAATAACGGGATCAGAGGGATAGAGAGCGACTTTCGAATGGCTTTTCTTTTGAGAGACTCGTGTCACATGCCCCCTCCAATCACAAAGAAGATGATGTCTTCTCAACCAATCAGGTCAGTGCGAACCCAATACCAATCATAGATTGGCAATTGAATTTTCCCGCGCTCGGACCCGGGTAAATATTTTCCCGCCCTTGCTTGGGTTACATGTTTTCCCGCGTTGAGAACCGGATGAATGTTTTCCCGCTCTTGACGCGGGTTACAAATGGTTTTCACTTCAAGGCTGGATTGGTTTATTGCCGGCCTGCTATGGTGATAGTGATTTTTCAGATACAATTCAGGTTTAAATGGTTGATAGTGGCAATTGAAAACCGCCCTATGAAGGAGAAAGAGAATTTGGTTCCGTTCACTACCGTTGTACACTTTTTTTTATAACTTTGTAGCGTCAGTTTAGATTCCCGTGCAAATATATTAACGCTAGACATAGCAAATGTTTTCTGTGTTACAGCTACTGGCTGTTAGTAATGTCACTTAAGCCAGCTTAAAAATTCAAGTGTAAAGAGGCTAACAATTTGTTATTTACTTTACAACTCTTATACGTACTTATTTATCAGTATAAAAGGAATATTAACAACGACATTAGTGCGAAATCGGTTAGCTAGCACCTTTGGTATATTTAAGTGGTGTGTGTATTAAAATGCATGACTTTTTTTTCTTCAACAAGACACTTGGAATGAAAAGGACAATTTTCTTTGGAAATGTTTACAACGAAATGCTTCGCGTTACTGTCGCTTGACAAAGATTTGATATGGATATATTTTGCTGCTCCGTTGACCATTCAAAATTAAAGTTGATCATGGCCGACCAGAAACAGAGATGTTAAATGCTGTTGTTCTAGGTTCCCCTGATTGGCTGAAAGGTTGTAACCAACAAAAAAAATGCCAATAATATGTCAAACCTCTGTCAAGTAGCAGTGACGCGTTCAAACACTTGTATGTCGGCTTATGTCGATCTTTAGTTGACAGTTCCGACAAACAGGTCTAACCAAGTTATTTATAACAGGAGATACAGTTAATTAGAAAGTTCTAGAGCTTTGATATTAGAATTTTTGCCTGAGAAAACGTTAATGAATTTCACGGCTTGAGTGTTTGTTGATTATTATAGGGTTTTATATCATTTTTGTAGTTTTTCATCATTGTGTACATTTATACTGAAATAAAGGTTTCCAGTTTGATAAAAAAACTGCACTGATTGTCTGAATATTCACGCTGGCTTGCGCTGTCACCAGAACAGCTGAAGGGTAAACACGTTAATGCTCTATCGAGCTAGAAACCTCGTTTGTAAGTTATCGAAATCACCAAGTGGTTTCCAAACTTTGCCCTCCCTCCGCAGCTCGTGTCTTCCCGACGACGTCACCGAAAAGAATTCTCGATCGGAGACTAAGAAAAAGACTAGTCGTTTGAGGGTGGGGGGCTGGGGGGTTGGAGGGAAGCTTGAGGCTTTTGCGGGGTACATAGCGATGCCTGGATACGGGACATGCGCAAACGCATAGAAACGACTGCTAAGTAAAAGATCTCTTGTCTCAGCGACATTCTCTGACGTTCTTCGATTCCTTACGTTTTTCTGCCCTCCTTCAATTCACCCCTCCAACGTCGAGCCAGGGGCAAATCGTGTTCACACCCACTGCCTCAAGAGGCCGGGCTAAAGCCGTGCAAACCCAGGGGCGGATTTAGGGGGGAATGGTGGGTTGGGTGGCTAGCCACTCCGCTTTTGGAGAAGCAAAGCATAAAAAAAAATGAAAAAGGTCGTGAATCGTGCGGCAGAAATGAAGGCAAACTCTCTGGAAAGGCATATTATTTCTACTTTGTAGCATTGCTAAAATTTCTAGTGTTTTCAATTAGGTTCCATTAGGAACATGCCCCATTGATTCTGCAACCCCAAGGTACCAACCATTCCCCCTCCCCCGTACCCCTCCCCCTTGGAAAATCTTGGATTCGCCCCTGATACCCATGCCATCCCCCGACAGGGCTATATTAAGTGTTTAAGCAAGCAACCGGAACGATGATCCTGCTGGTATACGTTGGATCAATAGTGATCTAATCGGTTTTACATATAAAATGAAGAATACAAAAGCAAAAACCGACACAACGTAGGATGATTTTTTGAAGGTGTACTATATTTCGGCTGGCCAAACCAGCCTTCTTCAGGTACAATGAAAATTTTACATTGGGACGTGTTTTTATGTAGCCAGGGAAGCTTTTTTAATTCAAAAAGGCAGAACAATTGGTCCTGATGGTCTGAACATCCGCGAAGAAACATATTAATTGTTTCCATTTGTTTTCTTTTATTATGTTCTTTTATCATGTTATTTTATTTTAGCGTATGCTTATCTTTAATTTACACTGTCAATTACTTTTACGTATTTCCGGTATTACGAAAATATCGGCTACATAAAAACACGTCCCAATGTAAAATTTTCAGTGTACCTGAGGAAGGCTGGTTTGGCCAGCCGAAATATAGTACACCTTCAAAAAATCACCCCACGTTGTGTCGGTTTTTGCTATATTAAAGGACGTGGACAGGATCCAAAAGCCCATGACCCATGGACCAAAATTCGGAACAGTGACGAGCAAATGTAAAAGTGCTCGTCGTGCATTTTGACTCTAAAAACAATTCTTTACTCGCGGGTAAAATATGTTAATTAAGAGACTGATGCGGGTTAAAACGCGCGCTCGCGGGTAATCCGCGCTCAAATCATTTCCAGTCTTCCGCGGATGACTAACCATCAGGCTGTGCGCACCACGTTATATTCCTCTTCCATCGCTCAACCATCACTCGTCTTCTTCACTGCAAGGTAAGTGATTGCATCCTGTGGCATCGCTTTGTTTTATGCTTACCTTAGACATTTGATAATTTTATTTTGTAGTTTAGGAACTCTTCTATTCGACTAGCTTATTTTTATCGGGATGGTTTGCTAAATTCGAGTGATATTCTGACTCTTTTGGGTGTTGATGTTTGTAGAATGACACCTGCAGTAGAAAACCCTCCGGCCGAAGAAGAGGCGAATGCTGAAGGTAAGAAAAGCTCTTCTCGTTGAGAAGATATTAATCATAAGTGTCAATACTTATAATTTCATCTGTCACAGAGTTTTAAGCTTGGAATATCGTAGAAAATTTCCACTGGTGTTATTTTTGACAGTGACGCAATCTGTAGTGGTATAGAATCATCATGGCTGCACCTAAACGATGAAAAGAAGGATTTTGTAGTAAAATAGAAGGCACATTGATATTTCCTGTTTTCTTTCCAATTTCTTAAGGGTCTTTTGGCATTGTTACCTGCTTAAGTAAAGACGCAGTAAATACGCGACGTGATGGTTGATGTCAACCGAGCGCAGTCTGCTATCTGTTACCGTACCCACGTGCTGTAAATTAAGATAAATTTATTTACTTCTAATTGTGTGAAATGTCATGTCTCGTTGTGCTAAAATTTTCTCAGAACTTGATCAGTATAGTGTTTGACCATACGTTGGCATTCCAGAGTAGCTTCAGTTTTTTTTTTTCTCTATGATTAAAATGATTTCCTCTGGCAATATTATAACCAGAATACCGAAATAACGAAATTATCCTCTCTGAGAAACATTAATGAGTATTTCCTATCTATTTGGACCTCCAATGTACTGGCCAAAACTCTCTCCATCTATAAGCTCAAAAAATCTAAACCTGTTTACTGAGGTAGCTAAGAGACTCTAAAGCGGGACTCCTTCCAGTTCTGGTGGGGAGTCGCCAGAACTGGGAAGTTTAAAACCCCTCTTTTCTAAGAGTAGTGGGTGCCCTGTTAATGTACATTCGTGTTGTTTTTAGTTATCTCAGGAACAGAAAGTGACAGTGACGATGAATTACCAGAACTCGAGGAAGGAGATGCTGGCCAGCCTAATATAACGAGTGATGTAGCTGCTGCTGCAGGATTGACAGAAGAACCAGTCAGTAAAGCCAGACAAAGCCGAGGCGAAAAAAAGGCCCGGAAAGCAATGTCAAAACTTGGACTTAAAGCTGTTCAAGGAGTTACCAGAGTAACAATAAGAAAATCCAAAAATATACTATTTGTAGTTAACAAGCCTGACGTTTACAAGAGTCCAGCTTCAGACACTTACATTGTGTTTGGTGAGGCAAAGGTATGTGCATGCAAAAAAATATGTAGTATGGCTACCAAAGGTTTATCAATTACTTTAAGTGGAACTGGTATGGAAGAAATCAGAGATTGTGGATAAAAGATAGAAAAAAATATCAACAACCTCTTGTTATTGGGGCATGCCCCATGGCATCAGATTATTTGCCATAAGGTTACCCATGAAACATGCTGTATGTTGAACCCTGTAGCAGGTTGAGTGCAGTGTTGTGTTTTGTTTTGTTTGTTTTTTTTACCTCTTTCCCTTTTTGAGGGGGAGGGTTATTAATAATAGGACAATGACTGCAAGTAGTGTAGTTGCTTTTCTGAATGTGTTTTTACATTGTTGTGTTAAAAAGTAGGGTATGTACTGTTTAAGGTAGCAATGTGCCCAATGACGATAAAGATGCCTTATGGTGAGGAGGATCTGCCTGACTTGAAGGCCAGCTTTCTTATGTGTGTGTTTGTTGTGAATACTTGTTAACCTGCATACATCATTCATCTCTGTGTTGTGTAACACCCACACGTGGCACGATGGTCAGGTATGATGGTGGCCAATGATCTAAAGATTATGAGAGCTGAGGGCACGAGAGTAATAATGAACAGGGCTTGAAAAAAGTGTTGTCCGGTTGTCCAGCACAAGCAGATTATCTTGCCAGTTAAGTAACTTTTCATTCTCACTTGCCCAATGGACAAGGGCCCTGGCAAGTCATCTGCCAACTAAGTTAAAAAAAGTAAACTAAGACTTGCCCAGGGCAAGCAAAGTTTGAGATCTACTTGTGTCAAGGGCAAAATGGATTTTAAGTTGTTTTTTTTCAAGCCTTGATGACTACAGCATACATTGCAAGAGGTGCATTTTTTACATCCAAAAATGAGAGGGACTTTAATTTTTATTTGTTTTTGTTTCATTGTAACAAAACACCTTATTGTCTTCACTGTAGATCGAAGATTTAAGCCAGCAAGCCCAAGTGCAGGTAAGCCTTTGAATATGGAGTACCTTTCCATTTCTCTTTTCATGACTTCCTAAACAAGTGTTTGCTTACAAGCTACATCTGTCAAATGTTGACAGCTTGGTAAGATCTTGTGCATCTGAAGCAAATCTTCAGCTGTGATGTGCCGCTTGTTTTCTTGGCTCCTTGGATTTTGGAACAAATTCAAGGATAAGTTTGTGAACAAGAATTTATCGCTATCCCAAGTTCTTTCTTGTGGAAATTGTTTTACATAAAAATATCATGTTGCACATGTGTGCATATAGATGTTTAACACGGACACTTTTAATACTTCAGGCTGCTGAAAAATTCAAGGCACCCCAGCCAGCTCCTGTCATCCCAGAAGCAAAGGCAGCTGCTATTGAACAGGAGGAAGAATCTGAAGAGGAAGAGGTTTGTGAAGGAACTTGGATTAGTTTGACAATATTATTGGCTTTAGTTTAGTGGGATTTTTTGTCATCTCGTTTCTTACTGTGTGATTTTACCATGGAGAATGTTTTAAATTCAGGCACATCAGTGTCAGACATGACCAATCGCTAAAAATATTGTTGTCACTGTAAATTACAGGTTGACGAAAGCAAGGTAGAAGATAAAGACATTGAACTTGTGATGCAGCAGGCCAATGTGTCCCGATCTAAGGTTAGTTAACAGTTCTTTTTTATCAACTGAAGCTGTAGATACATGTCATAACAAAAACTAATGTGTTTTTTACTGCCATTGAACATAAAACCATGTCTTTGAACTTGGTTGGGGGAAGATTTATGACAGTTAGGTACGCACCTTAATTAGTTGCAAAAATAAAGCCTGAAAAATTGACAGTGCTTGAAGTGGATGATACAATTTTTATCAGTATTCTATTTTGCAACACTACCATTCATACTCAGTTCAAATAAGATATGGGAATAATGGTTGACCAGAGGACTAAGCCAAGATTGAACAGCTTGGCTTAGGGGTAGGTTTTCCCACCTGCTTCATTTTTTTCTGCACTGTTTGCTGCCACGTGACCTTTGGGCAGCTGCTCCTTTGCTAATTAAAATCCATTGCCTTGAATTTAGCATGATCATACATGTATATTTGCCAGAACCTGTATGTTTATCTGTAGATGCGTTGCACGTTTACCAGTACATTTGACTCTCTGTTATTGATAGCAATATTTACAACATTGTTTATTCAATATTATTTCATAGGCTGTCAAAGCTTTGAAAAACAACGACTGTGATATTGTCAATGCCATTATGGTGAGTTTTCTGTGCTGCCATAAAATATTTGTTGTAGAGAAGCAAGTGGTCATCAATCACTTTGCTAATGATGCAGATGAATGGTTTCTGTTAATGCAGCCTTAAGGTTCTCATTTTGGTAGCTTGTACAGCAAAGCTGGAGAAGCTGTGAAAATGGACAGAATAGGGCTTAGCCATTGTTGCCATCATTTGACAAAACTGCCCTAAACTGGGAATGAGGCTGGCAACTTTCTCATGACAATTCTGTTCTGGGTTTTTGCAATGTTTTTTTGCCGTTGTCTAGCAAACCAGTAAAATTGTTGACAGTTACTTTTCACAAAAATGGTAACAAACTTAGGCATGTTCAAATGATCTACTTGTACATTTGTTTAAGACTACTGCTTGCGAGAACTGTGCGTAGGAAAGTTCACCCCTGTAAATGTCAATCTGTGCCTTTTTGCTGATGGTTATGCTATGCTTTTGTGTTTTAGGAGCTGACAATGTGAATGAAGGATGAGGCAACAACTTTTAAAAAATTTACCCTCTCTCTGTACAGGATTTTGAGTCTTTGTTTTCTTTGGTCAAAAAAAAACTATGGGAATAAAATAGCTGTTATTAATTTGTCTTGTGTATTTAGTTTGTTTATAACCTTGTCAAGACTTCTTACTGAACTTGGATTTTAGTCAGTTTGTGTGATATTTCTGGGGCAGATCTAAAGGGGGGGGGGGGGTTGGGGGGTTCAGTTGCATATAGCAAATAATGGTCGAGGCTTCACCAAAGCTTTTCCGATCCCTGTTGCAAGGTTATAAAATATCAAGTTACAGATGCACTTGTAAGTTTGCTGCACCTTGAGCACTGTTCCAGCTCTGCATTCAGCTCTCCCCTCGGTGACTTTTTAGTGACTGGCCAGAGACATCTTTGACCAGGCCCCACCAGCTAAGATGGACTGGTAGGTCTGTGGACAAGAACAGTTGCACTGAAGCCGTTGAGGAATTTTTAAACAGCAGCTCAGTTTATTTACGAAATCTATGTGCTTCTAGAACATTTTGTTTCCTTTGATAACCAGGATCGAACTATAGTCAAACTTCCCAGGCACAGTTTTGTTTTGTTGCATTTCTGTAATTACTATAAATGATGCAAACTATGATTTATTTCAATAAATATTTTATTAAACAATTTTGTATTTAACATTACGACTTGTAGTGTAAAAACAGTTGCGAATAGTTTTAAATCAAACATTTTGGGCAACTTGCACCACATCGTGCACTTCGTCAATTTCTGGAGCTAATTTTCTAGTTAACTTTGCTGTGGGTCCTGATTAATACTAACAAAGGATCGCCTGCTCTAATCATTCTAAAGAAAAGACCATCTTGGGCCATAAAATGGATACTATTATTGGTATTTTCGTATTACACAGAGGCAAAGTCCCAACTTAAATTTGGTTTTGGAGTAGGAGACAGGCAGAGAATCTCGCAGGCATCTTGTAGTTCACAACTTTAAATCAAAAACTGATACAGTTCGTGCCCTTATACACGTGTAGTTTCTTTTCTCGAAGTAATTTATAACATCTAAATCTGACGAAGAAAGGAACCAGTTGCGAAGAGACAGTTTACATTTAAAAACGCGTCAGTAAGATTCCACTTCGACTTCACCATCGGTATCATCGTCTTCTCGTGGAACTGTCTGCAGCTCGTCATCACTCCAAACTAAGTTGTAATTGTTCTCCAAATCTTGTTGGCGCTTTCTCTCTTTTCCAGCTTCAGGGCTGCCCCCCTAAGTGGATAAAACGACAAGTACAACTCTTTAAAAAGTGTTCCTTGAAAGCCACTCCTTGACCGACAAAGTAACAAGACAATAATCATAGATGGATTTGGCAACAACAACAGCCTGCAGTGCTGGCGTGTTTTGGCGTGCGAGCGCATTTTGATCAAACGAGCGCCTTGTTTGATTCAAACTCGGAAGAGGCTTGGGGAGAGACGAAAAGGCGCCTTAGGGAGTAGGAGTCCGGTAACTCGTTCACAGCACGTGCACTACAGGCTACAAAAGCAATGCTTGTTCCCTGGCATAGTCAATCGAACGCAATCGAACTGTATTTCAATCGAACTCAATCGAACTAAATCGAACTCAAAAATAATTGGACAATCGAACTATATCGAACTTTTGATTTCTGAACTCTTGATTTTTTTATATAACTGGTGTTGAAAATCAATAACAAGTTTTGGAGGCTCGAGTTACTTCAGGTTTTTCGTGTTTTCGAGACCGCATAGCATAATCTTTGTTCAAGCGAATTTCACTGAACAATTGGACGCAATCCATTAGATTGAGTTCGATTGAGTTGGGTTGCCGAACCCAATCGAACACAATGTAATGGATTTAGTTAGGTTCGGTTCGATTCGATTTGTTCGATTGAGTTCGATTAATTCAGAAATCGAACTCACACGAAGTTCGGTGTTCGATTTGGTTGGATTGCTGAACTCAATCGAACTCAATCCACGGATTGAGCTCGATTGGGTTCGATTTCACGTTCGATTGACTATGCCGAGTTGTTCCCACAATAGGAGTCAGCGTGGATTGGACTGTAATAACACGACAGAAACTCAACAAGAGATCAGCCGTCGGTCGTCAACCAATCAATCTCAGTAACTATCCCCTGTAATTTGAGATCCCACTGGATCGCGCTAGCCTGGAGTAAGGTTACTTACCAACAAACCAAGAATCATGTCCCTGAACTGAGTTTCCTCTTTGTCACTGAGTAGCCTCACGTCACTTTTGCCATCCAAGCTCTCCAGTGCATCTTTGGACGTCACAATCTTGACTCGTATTTTGCCTAATGATGAGTAAATCAACACTGGCTGATCAGGCAACACTACTCGTGTATAAGTAAAACCTTGCGGGTATCGCACTGGCTACACATAAACCTACATTTGTACTTTAAACAACAGAGTGTTTCTGTCGAGGAACTATCGGCTGATAGTTGCCCCCGAGGAAATTTGATATTCTTAAAACAGGCAAATATGCTAGTTTTAAGAACATCATTGAAAATCGGTAAAACATGCATTTTGCACGAAACAGATGTGATATGAAAAAGTTAATGCAAGTGTCTTAAACTATGGTGTATGTCAAGTAGGTTGTACAAGAATAAAAAAAAAATTGTATGTTTAAACTGGAGTAAATAGCAAAACGTTTTAAATTATACTTTTTTCATCCTCATCACAAATAAACCCACAATTGAACACTATTTTGATGACNGAACTCAATCGAACTCAATCCACGGATTGAGCTCGATTGGGTTCGATTTCACGTTCGATTGACTATGCCGAGTTGTTCCCACAATAGGAGTCAGCGTGGATTGGACTGTAATAACACGACAGAAACTCAACAAGAGATCAGCCGTCGGTCGTCAACCAATCAATCTCAGTAACTATCCCCTGTAATTTGAGATCCCACTGGATCGCGCTAGCCTGGAGTAAGGTTACTTACCAACAAACCAAGAATCATGTCCCTGAACTGAGTTTCCTCTTTGTCACTGAGTAGCCTCACGTCACTTTTGCCATCCAAGCTCTCCAGTGCATCTTTGGACGTCACAATCTTGACTCGTATTTTGCCTAATGATGAGTAAATCAACACTGGCTGATCAGGCAACACTACTCGTGTATAAGTAAAACCTTGCGGGTATCGCACTGGCTACGCATACACCTACATTTGTACTTTAAACAACAGAGTGTTTCTGTCGAGGAACTATCGGCTGATAGTTGCCCGCGAGGAAATTTGATGTTCTTAAAACAGATATTTGCTTCTCGGGCAAATATGCTAGTTTTAAGAACATCATTGAAAAACGGTAAAACATGCATTTTGCACGAAACAGATGTGATATGAAAAAAGCTAATGCAAGTGCCTTAAACTATGGTGTATGCCAAGTAGGTTGTACAAGAATAAAAAAAAAATTGTATGTTTGAACTGGAGTAAATAGCGAAACATTTTAAATTATACTTTTTTCATCCTCATAACAAATAAACCCACAATTGAACACTATTTTGATGACACTGCTTCAAATGATACCAAAACGCGCCTTGAAGTAATGTTTTGAAGGCATGAAAATGTTGTTGGTTTTCTCTTTCGCGATCTCAAAAACGAGACTTTTTCTTAAAGTCATTCCCATTATAATTTTCGGTTAATTTATGATTTTTAGCACTTTTTCAGAAATCTAAAAAAACGGGTGTGAGCCCGTCAAATTAATTCAGCAAAAGTCCAGTTTCTCTGGTAAAAATAGTTGATGTTTCTTTACAGATAGATAGGCAAAGGTAAAGTCTGCATACGAGCTAAGAGGCCCATCAGACCGGTGCTTATCTCTGGTTTCTGTAGCATGAAGCGACTAAGAGTATTTCTACTCCCCCCTGGATGGGATACTAGTCCATCGCTGGGTTACCTCCGGCATTAAATTTGTCGGTATCCATTTGTACACCTGGGTGGAGAGAGGCACTGTGAGAGTAAAGTATCGGAGTCGACCGCACTAACCAGGAGGCCACCGCGCCTCTCGAAAGATAGGTATCTAGAGTACTGTTACAGTAATACCTGAAGGAACAACTCCCGAGTCTCGTAACTCCTGTTTCACCATCTCTTCCATTTTCTTTGTGGCCAGGCGGATTCGTTTGTCCATGTTTAACTCCTGCATTTCTTCCTCGTCAAGATCAGTTTCTTCCAACTCGGCCTCGTCATCTTCAGGAATAGAAATCTTCTTGATCTTAGACACTTTGACTTTCACTCCGGTCCTCAAGTCGCCCTGATCAAACAAGCCTGATTTAGAAGCTGAATCTGCATCTTCAACTCTAGCAGCGGTGGAACTACCTGGTTCAATATCATTCACTGTATCTTCAACCGCACTATCCGAACCAGCTTCACTTCTCACCTCGGTGTTATCAAGATCCTGAATCATAGTTTTCAACTTGTTAACAACCTGGTCGATGCCACCTTTTGTAGCGCCGAATTCCGTGTTATCTCTCGAGTGTGTGTTCTCTTCGTCCGGGGAAACTTTACTTTGCATTTTTTTGATGAAATGGAGGTCTTGCTCGAGCTGGAAACGTCGTAAGAGGATTTTTTTCACCAGTTTGTTCGTCTTGGAAGAGAGTTGTAAGAGATCACTTTTAGTGTCTGTATTTTCTTTGTCTTCTATTGCACGGAATATCTCTTTGTTGAGCTCTTTGACAGACGACATGTCCTCTTCTAATTGCCTATGAAGATTACAATATGAACACAGATGTAAACAAATGTCACCTCAACAATACACCAGGAACAAACAGGAGAAACATAGAAGAGTTAGAGAAACCAAAGGATTGACTCAAGCAGACAGAGACAGACACAGAAACAGGCAGAAAGGCAGGCAGGCAGACAACACAGACAAACAGGACAGACACACAGACACATAGGTAGACAGACAGACGCACAGAACAGAGAGAAATAGACAGATACATAGATAGATAGACAGACAGACACACAGTACAGAGAGATGAATACAGACAAACGACAGACCGACATGCAGACAGCCAGATTGATAATTGACAAATAAAACGTTCAAGTGATAAACACAAATTGTTCATGCCCTCCTCATTTCTGATCTAAAACCATGATGGACGAATACAACCGGTCGAGATACTAACATTGTGTACACATTGTATATGCGTAATTATCATTATCTGGATCATTGGGTAATGCAATTCTAGAGTTTTCATTGGCTTAGCCATCATGGGTTATGAGACATTATACCATGCTCCACAAATATGGTAAGNCTGCGTTCGGTCTGTTCTCACGACCTCGGTCAAGATTCTCCCATACAGACCTCCTGCTCGGTTAATAAGAACTAAGTAACGGGTCCTGATCGGGTCCAAATATCCGTGCATATTTTCACGCCAAATAGAGGTTACTGATTTTGAAACGTCTAGATTACGCTAGGGAAAAGAGGAATAAAGAAATAACAAACAAGAAACCTTCATCTCCTCAATGGTTCTCGTTAACGCATCTTTCGTCGTTGTCTGTTCAAGCTGGTCTGTTTCTGGCGGTACACTGGTGTCTTTTTCCTCCAGTTTGTCATCTTTTCCACCATCTGTTCCAGTGTGACTCTCAGGGTGATCTTTTTCACCCCCTTTTCCCGCAACACTTCCAAGCTTCTCTTTGAATTTTTGATCCAAAACTACCGAGAAAAACCAGAATACAGCATATCGCACTTGCAAAAATTTTCGGACGTTTTTCTTGCAAATGTTTAATTTTCGGACACCCTCTTATCTCACTTCGGACAAATTTCGGACAACAATTTCGGCCACTTTGCTAAAACATAGCTAAAGTAAATTTACCCCAACAAAACACGAATTAGACTGAAACACATCTATGAAAATGACAGATGATGGTTTTACTGCACCCTCTTGGATTTACAAATACACCGACGAGAAAATAGCACACATATTCCTTTAAAAAAAAAAAATTGCACATAATTATATTCTATCATGCGCCATTACAGATCTCAAGCCTTGTCTTAACTAGAATTCTCATCATAAAGGAAACAAAGAGCTTTTAGTTTGGCGCTATTTATAATTATACGGTACTGCAAATATTTCAGACGGTTTTATTTTCGGGTACTTTTTTCGTCCGAAATTTTGGGCAAGTAATGTAGTAAAGAAAAGGATTGAAGCTGCACGCGACAAAGGAAACGGTTGATGAAAAGGACACAGTGGTACTCTTTTACATGAGGGGGTCTCTGCCAAACACAGAAAACGTGCACGATAGGTATCTGATTTCTTTGCTCTTATGGTAAGAACGTCCAATCAACTGGAGAGTTTACCAAACGAAAACTAGACACAGACCAAACCAGATATATAATGTGCTTTCACAGTCAAGAAANTTTTATTTTCGGGGACTTTTTTCGTCCGAAATTAAAATCGTCCGAAATTTTGGGCAAGTAATGGAGTAAAGAAAAGGATTGAAGCTGCACGCGACAAAGGAAACGGTTGATGAAAAGGACACGGTGGTACTCTTTTACATGAGAGCGTCTCTGCCAAACACAGAAAACGTGCACGATAAGTATCTGATTTCTTTGCTCTTATGGTAAGAACTTCCAACCAACCGGAGAGTTTACCAAACGAAAACTAGACACAGACCAAACCAGATATATGTGCTTTCACAGTCAAGAAAAAATGATCTGACCAGCCTGGCTAGTCTTGTTGTGTCCGACAAGAGGGGTTTTGATTAGCAGCCGTTGCTAGGGAAAACCGACCGCTAAATAGCCTCTTCCGCAGAGGCTCTTCCGGCTCTTCACGCAGCTCTACTTACTATGATGCAACTGTGATTGCTTAACGACCGGCGAACGCAGGTGGCTCCTCAGTTACACAGACGTTCCGTAACGGAGGAAAGCTTGCAAGACGAGCACACGTCTGCGAAGGCTAGGGGGCACTTGGAATGTAGACTCTCTTTGAGGACAATAATTAAAAAAACTATCCGAGTACTTTTTTCCCCTTACTCCTCGGGAAAAAACTCTTTTTTATGAATTACCTTCGGGCTTGATTCCTAGTTTGACTAATTTCTCTTTCAGAGTAGACCTCAGTTTCAGGACTGCTTCTTCCATTTTCTTCTTCCACTCATCATCTAAACCTTGCTCTGCCTCACTTGCTTCTTTCTCGATCTTCTCGCCTGCACCATTTGGTGTCCCACTTGATTCAATGGCCTTCTCGTTTCCATCTTCCTCTGATGTAGCTGGCTTTTCTTTGCTTTCCTGCTCGTTATTCTGCTCAGTAACTACTTCATCTCCCTCTTTATTATTGCCCGCTCTTTCAATATTTTCTGTCTCAGCAGTTTTCTCTGTCTGCTCAGTTTGTTTCTGCCCGTCTTCGGGTTCTGATATTTCTTCCAGGTTGCCTTCCGTTTCTCCCTTTTGCCTTTATTATATTGAAAAAAAAAGAACTTCTAAAAAACTTAAATTAAGGTTCTGAAATGACGTCTTCTTGTTCCGACCTTAGAACTACATGGACAGTAAAGGCATTTTCAAATTTCTCAGAAATGGGAATACAGAGCAAGAAAAAGAAACCTCTTTTCACCCTCGTCCTCTTTTTTCTCCGCGAAAATCCCTTTTCGTATTTTCCTTTTATACCGCTGATTTACATTTCCACGCGCATGTAGGAACTCAGAAAAAGTGGAAACCCTGTTGGCAGTGTAAAGTTTAGAACTATCATGAAAAAAATTCAAGTTTGGCTATGAGCAGCCTGCATTTGAATGCCGATAGAATTCTGCCTGCTGTTCCTGAAAATATAACAGGTGAAAATAGGGCTTTCCACAAGTTGCTCGGCAGCTTTTTGGCAACTTCTCGTATGTCGAACAACCTTTTTGCGTTTTGAGCAATGTCTAGTTTTCTACCAATTCTGCGAAATTAGAGCAGCTTTTGGGGCTTAAATTGGTCTTGCTTCCATATTTCACAATGTTTTAGAGACAATTTATGAATTTCCTGTGAAAAAGGAACTAGATCCCCCCTCCCCACTGGGGCAGCAAGACATGGGTGCAAGATGCATGCAGCCGGCCTGCTAGGTCAGACGGTTTTTTTTAAAAGAAAATTCAAAATGGCAGACGAAGATTCACACTCGACTGACTCGAGTGTCTCAGGTGCAGAATTTTTACAAGATTAATATTAATATTGATGCACAGTCTTTACTCATACATCTTTTGGTTTTAACTGAGGACAAAGTTATTTTAATTAGCAACGCTAGCTAGGCCACAAAATACCACAAAAATATTAAGAAATCTTACTTTTGTCGTACAATTTGCACATTTTTACTTCAGACCAAATAAACAAAGAGAGCAACAAAACCAACAAAATTCTTAGAGAAACTTTTGAGAAACGTTTGTTACGAAAAGCAACTTTTGACTTTTTTTGAGCAACTTTTTGAAAAATTAGGACATCTCGAGCAACTTGTGGAAAGCCCTAGGTAGAAATCCACCTGTAAGAATCATCAGTGTTTGCCTTCTAGGTTCTGAGTAGCTGAGTTAGACTTATGCAGTCTGGCCTAGAACTCAAGATTTTGGAATTCAAAAACAGGGCTTCCAGATTCAAAGCTTCTACACTCTGCCTACAGAAAACTCCTGAGGGGCACTGCTCCCATTCTCTGGACCACTTTTAAAGAAAACAATTAAAATCTTTAGGGAGAATTGACACCTAGATCAGCAGGTTGTTGTACGTACCTTTCTATATCTCTCTTTCTTTGCATTTTTTGACTCATAATAGTAATGCCTTCACTTTCCTCAAACCCATCGGCATTCTTTTTGCGTCCTTTGGTGATGTCCAATCTATGAACACCGATCTCGTCTTGCTTGATATTACCATCGATCCACACCTCATCTTCGCTTTCAATTCCAGGGTTCTCCCACGGCCAAACTTGGCTGCGCTTCGACCTTTTCTTTTTTGTAGAGCTTTCTTCTTCATCTTGTTCTATAAGCTCATCTTCACTTTCAATTTTCTTTGCAGCTCTTGCTTTCTGAGCCCGATACATGGCTTCTTCAGCTTCCTCTTTAGCCCTTTTCCTTGATTCTGCAATTCAAGACAGGCAACAATAGTTAAGAAGCCAAGCTATATTTTTTACATCTATAACTGGTGGTTTCGAGGAGCTACGATTAACAACAAAAGTAGTTGAGACAGTTTTAAAAACTGACACTTCTCTTTATTTTAACTTCTTATTCTATTTCATACATGTATGCATCTAGTGAAAATTCTCTGGTACCCCTGGCCCCCCAATTTAATGTTGTGTAGGTGCTGACCATGCTGTGGTCTGCGTGGTCTTAGAAATAGAAAAATCAGCATTGCTTGAGGGGGAAGGGAAGGGCGAATTGTTTTCCAAGATGCTCCAAAATATTAATTTTTAACTTCAACGGTACATACTGAACAATAACATAATCAGTTACTATATAAATGGTCCCAGTCACATATAAACACTGTATAGACACCTTTCTTCTATTTCAAGGTCCTAAAGGTGAGCAACTTTCTTTTTTAAACTTTGTCACTTTATGAGAGGTGTGGAGCAGTGAAAGAGTTAGTGATTTTAAGCAAATGTTCCATTTTATCTGTTGATTTAAACCCAATTGTGTTTAAATAAAGGATTGTTGTTGTTGTTGTTGTTGTTGTTGTTGTTGTTACATTGGTGGTGCAATCAGACAGTGGCTGCTAGCACTTTTTGACAGAGCTGTTTAATGGTCGGAGCTGCTGATATACTACTACTAATGAGAATAAGCGCTGATATTTCAGCTCGGCTTACCAATTCTTTCGATGTATATCTTGTAGCGTTCTTCTGACAGTACAGGGGAGCATGTGATTGCGTGTGGTTTCTGTGCAGGGTTGGGTCTGAACAGACTATGCTGACAGAGTTTGTTAGTATGGACTGTTATCACATAAGAACACGATGATGGTTCATCCACTCTTAATACAACATCTGCAATTCCTTCATCACAATAAATCTGTGAAATAACAAAGCAACCATTAACCCACTGTAAACAATAAGATACCCTGTATGAGCCCCTCTTGCAATATACATACATAAGAGTCAAGTCATGAAGTTAGGAAGGAAGGAAGGTTGTGGAAAGTTGTGAAATTGATAGACAGATAGACACACAGGCAGACAGACAGACAGATGGACTGACAGACAGACAGATGGACAGACAGACAGACAGACAGACAGACAGACAGACAGAAGGATGGATTGATGGATGAACAAAAATGTTACTGAAAATATTAAAGATAATGTTACCTTAATTTGTGTTTCTCTTGCTTTGCCCGTCAAATCACATTCACTCCCATTTACATAATATTGGGAATGAAATCTTTTGACTACATTACTTTTTCCTGGTTTGGGCTTTTCCTGAAAAAAGGAAAAAATTCACAAAGAAATTTAAAATGTCAAATACACAACTTTGGAATAGTTACTATGTGGACACCAAACCTTAAACTAAAAATGTGCTGAGCTCATGATCAGCTTGCTATTTTAGTCTGTGCCCAGTTTAATTCCATTGATTATACAATCATGCACTTACTACTAAGAATTGATTTTCACCACTTTATTCTGGAACAGCCAGTGATTTATAGTTTAAAGCTACAGAGGGTACTATAGAGCGGTTTTCAATTGAGTGTCGTAAAACCAAAAACAAACCAATTAGTTACCAATTAGACTACTCAGCCAATCTCAAAGCGTAGTAAAACCGAAACCAAAACCAAAACCAAAGTAACTGTCTGATTACTTTCGACACTCACATGAAAACCGCGCTACACACAAAACATGTGTCTTCAGGAAAATAGTAATGAAATAATAAATGATGTTATAATTTATTTGTCTTTTTTATTTTTATATTTTTTATTAGTAACTTGAAATAGATATATACAAAGATCATATAATTAAATATTGCATTATTTAATGTTTACATGTAGATCATAAATTACAAGATCTATATAGTTACGATCAATAACTTTAATTCAACTAGAAGGCATACTTAAAAAAAGTCCATAAAATCAGTTTGTCTTACTTTTATGTCTATTTTTTCTTGACTCCAGTCTGTTTCATTGCTAAATACTCCTAGAGTTATTTTATCTCCAACAACTTCTTGTCCTGAAAGAAAAGAAAACCGCAAGTAAAGCAAAATGTACTTCTCCCCTGTGACACTAGTTTAAATTTTTAAAATAATTGAAAGAGAAATAATGCATAATTATCACTGAAAAGTACCTTCTTTGTGATACTGGTAAATGCCCTTCCCAAAACATACTTCATAAGTCCACCAACCTTTATTCTAGGAAAAAAGAAAAGAGTTAGAAGTAAGAGAGCAGATGAGCAAAATGATATAAATGTATGACCTCACATATCACCAACTAAGTTAGTTAGCTGATACCATGTTACAT